TCACTGAGGCTAAGCATGCTGCCAAATCTCTGCTCAGCCTAAGCTCCAGAACACCCCATGAAAGGGACCACATGCATGTTCAGCACATACCATGGACTCATGGTCTCCTCTGCCCAGTCTGACCAGCTCAACCCAAACTACCCACAGCTGTCTGAAGTTCAGTCCTTCCTACACATACAATACTTACTGCAGTGTGGCCTCAACCTGCAGCAAGGGTGTAGAGCAACCAGGCAGTCAGTCACCATGCTTGACCTCAGTGCTCCTCTGGCAATGCTGATGGACCCCAAAGGTGGGATTCATCTCACCCAACAGCAATACAAACATGTATGTTTAGCTGGTTGCTTCAAATCCCTTCACAGTCAATGCAGGGGGAGGGGCAGTGTGTGGATAACTGCCTCCTGTAGATATTCCTGTAGGCCAGGAAGTCCATCGCCCTTCCATCGGCAAGTAAGGGATCCAGAGAGCTCTTGCAGGTGCAGACATCTGCAATGTAGACATCTGAAGTCAACAGACCTAAGTCTCACCCATAAACCTCATGCTAATTTAGAGGAGGCTCCTTCCCACTTGCACCACAGCAGCTCTGCAAAAGATCTTCCTCCTGTCTTCCAAGACAATGTCATTCTTCTGACAGATTTGCCTTTGAAAGTGGGAGCTCTCTCAAGTACTGTCAGGTGATACAATGAAGTTTTGCTGTTACAGATCATCCCACAGTGCTGCTTGCCAGGAATCTGCATCAGATTTCGAAGAAGTTTGTGAATCGGCTCCTTTATTTCTCTTTGTTCATAGTTCATAATGCGAAACTAGCCTAGCAAAACAGGACACCAAAGAGGACAGATGGCTAGGGTGAAAGGCAGATGAGGGTAGCTAGTTTATTTGTGTGTAATACATACCAGAAGAAACTTCCAGATGATTCAGAAATGACCAGCTGTGCAGAAAAAGAGTTTATATAATCGATCTATAACCTTAATATATCATATTAATTCACTTCCTTATCTTGGTTATGCTCCCTCAGTGGTTTTAACTTTACTGGAAACTGGTAGGGAACATGGATTTCCCCCCCACACTTCCTTATCCGGCTTGTTTGACCATTGCCTAAAGCACGGCCATTGTCTAAAGCATTCAACAAACCGCAAGACATTAATTCAGAGCAAATAGTAATTTTAAAAAGCCTTCTTTCAAGACAGCTTTCTCTCAAGTTTTATCTATACTTCCCTCTAAAGCCTGTAAATAATGTTTAAAATCTGACTGACCTCGGACTGTGGTATTTTTAAATCCTGAATTGTAACTTCTTCAAAACTTGCTGCCATTTGTCTTTCTCATCATACTGGGGCTTGCTGGCTAAGCCACCTCAAAGAGGAAGACATGCTGCAAGTGGATATGCTACAGAAAACTACAGAGGGCACAGGACATTGAGGAACTAATGTTTCCCTCCGTGTTACTGAATAACCTACATATGACTACAAGATGTTAAAACTGGAAAATTCTTCTAATGATTAGTTCCACGTCTCAAACCATGGGAACACATAGAAGCGTTCAGCAAGCAAGAGACCAGCAAATTATTATTAGTGATATATAGACTGCTGTTCTCTGAATGCTGTCAAGTGACTGAAAACATCCAGTATTTTGGTTAGTGCGGAATTAGGATCCCTGCAGTTTTCCCACAGAAAGTACGCCTTTGGGAGGCAGAAATGTCTCCAGGGCTAGAAGGACAAGACAAAGAGAGCAGACATAGAAGTCAACTGTGCCCAAACCTTTTCTGTGAAGAGCTTTTCTGCGAAGAGCTTTTCTGCCATGAAGTAGAATCAACTCACAACAGCATAAGAGACAAATGCAGATGGAAGAGTTCAACATCTTTTCATTTATATAGATGAACATCTGTCTGACATTGGTACAAATGCCTCTGTCTAGAAAAATACTGTAGATGCCTGTGCAACATGCAGGACACAGGAAAATAGTGCTTGGTAAGGAACTTCATTATTGTCCACAGATTGTCTATGACTGTTTGTGCCTCCCATTATCTGAGAGAGCCCTGCTGCTGGTGACCAGAGCAGGCATGCTGAACTGGACAGGAGCAGAAGCTGATGCGAGACTGTGAGCAAACTATTCCATCACCTGGATCTGAGGACTGGTCCTCTATGCTGTTTGCAACCAGCCATTTGCTTGCAGCAGCAGTTATTCCAGAGAACTTGAAGCCTCATACTCTCAAATGCCAAGTTGAGGAAATAAAAATTAACACTGAACATGCAGCAGACCCCAGCAGTGAGAAGGGGAGCCAGTATAGTAATGTGAATCTCTTCACTCCTCCCATGGACAGCACAGATAGTTGTGGAAAGAAGATATCTTTGGCTTCCCTACAGAGATCAAGAGCTGAGATTAATGGCAAATGGGAGGGCTGTCTTCCCCTTTATACCAAGCATGCTTTAAAGCTGTGGCCTCCTGCCATCTTGAAACATAATCTTCTGGTATTGTCTTCATTTAGGCCCCTCATCCACAATGTGAAAAGAGAGAAGAAGCTGGTGGCAGGATTAGAGGAGAGGTTGAAATATTCTGGGCAGCATATGCTGTAAGTCACATTATACAGAGCATTGTTGGACTACTCATTGGCTAGGGCTTTCCCTTCTGGAAGCACTGCTGCTTGTAAAGAGGAAAACCTGGTGAAAAGTGTTTGCAACACATCAGACCACAGCATATGACATATTGTAAGCACAGTGACAAGCACTGAAAATATTTTTCAGGCCCTGCCTGCCCTGCTCCTACGTGACCCTTTTGTGCTCGTCAAGATGCATGGGAAAATAAGAGAAAGAGAAATGAGAATTCTTCAAAAGGGTGTTAATAAACATCCTAAAATTACTGTCACCGGATGACTCATCTCAACCTCAAACCAGAGTACCTTAGTCTTGGAAGGCTGTTTGGGACCCTCATTCTTTCAGAAGTCAGAAACCACCTTTTTTTGTCCAGTTTAAATTTACACATGACAAATCATACCCCTTTGTTCTTAGGCTACCAATGTTTTTAACTGAAAGAGATTATTTTCCTTGCCTGAACATAACGTATTTACAGAGATTATTCTCTCTAAGACTTAATTTTATTTCACCAAATAAGCCAAGCTCCTTTAGTCTCCTTTCTTATCTCCACTCTCTTGGTCTACTTTCTAGTTCTTCTCTGCACTGGTTCCAGTTTGCAGTTGCATTTCTGGACCATGACTGACCAGACCTAAACACAGGGTTTCACATGAATGAAAAGAGGCTCCTCTTTGACCTATACATCTCTAAAAGCTATTTGGTTAGTTCTGAATGTTCAGTCTTACTTGGAAACCCCCAACTATACAAGATTTCCACAACTGACACATACCCTTCTGAAGCCTGGTAAAAATTTACAAGGGCAACTGCATTCTTTTAAGGTGTCAAGCTCAGTCTTGGTGGCATGTTTTTCAGCTTTCATTAAACTGTCTTCAAACAAAAGTTACTATTGTTTGGGCTCCTGACACTTAGCCCTGTGGTCACATATTTTTCCTGTCATGTAAGAAAACATTTTCCTCTTTCTATTCAAAAAGCAACACATGGCTTTGTCTACAACTTGGAGCATCTTAGCCAGTTTTCATGGGGGTTACCACTACTTTCCCATTTTATTGCAAACATCTTCCTAAGTAGCAGCAACACACAATTATGTCTTGCCTCAAGTCCTTTTTTTGCTAACAAAAAAGTTTATAAGCTGAAAAAAGCTTCATATTTTGCCATATGGAGGGAAAATAATTTCTTCTCAGAAGCTGGGAGGGCTAGAGATAAAACAGACTATTAAAAATTTCATTTACACTATCATGCAAAAGTGCAGTAAGTTATTTCTAAATGGAATCATAATTCTAAAAGGGACCTTCAAGTTTCCAAAAAGATACAGATTTACTAAATAACGTTATGGTTTGAACTATTGTCTTTCCCTCAGTTAGGGGATTTAGATATGTTGAATTCTCATCCTTCTAAATCAAGTACTTCCTCCCCAGATTGTAATTTCAGATTACAGAAAGTGCAGGATTTTCAGTCTACTGATGTGTAAGTTTCCTAGCCATTGGCTCACACCTTTTCTGCCCCTGTGGAATAGCCATGGATGAGTCAGCTACCCCCCTTCACCTCAGCTCTTCCATTTTTTAAACTTCTCTCTCAAAAGCATGCAGTAAGTTCAGATCTAACCATGGCTTTGAGCTGGCATAAGCTCAAAAAGATATAAAAATGCTAAGGAGGGACTCCATTTAGTCACTGCAATTTTGAGCAAAGAGGAAGGCATTGATTAATTTTCAAAGGGCAAGTGCAGTGTTACTGCAAGAAAGTTGCACACTAAAATTGCATGGAAGGACCGTCTCTTCATACATGTCTCACCAAGTAAACTTTGGTGGCTATTCATCTGAGACACATTTAAAAGAAAAAGTAAGAACTGATAGTTTCCATGCCACGCCTGCAAACTTTCACATTTGAAGGCTATAATTATCTCTGATACCAGAGCAACTTTATACTGTGCTAAAACCTTGCTAGTTATTTATTTATTTCCTCCATAAAATAACAATCTTTAACACAAACAGTACTTAAGCATCACCACAGGGATACAGCAAAAAGACGTATGTAAGGGGCAAAAGATAGGGCAAAAGAGGAAATTTGAATGGAGTAACCTTATTGTGATAATACATTTTGACCAAATATTTTAAGAGGCCATCCAAGGACCTTTGTTTGCACAACAAAGCAGAGTCGGACAGACTTTCTCGGTATTTCTCAATACTTATAAATTCTCCATAAAACCAGGCACAAAAATGAGAAGATACAGTTTTAATTATGCTTGTGTAATTATGAAAGAGTACTGTTGATTTAGAAGGAGTTACAAAACCACATGAAGTATACATCTATGTTGGAATAAGAAATTAAATGCAATAAAACCTATATTTGAATCTTTTCAGTATCTGTCTAAGTTTGGGAGCTGAAACACTAATCCAAAAGCACTGCCTTGCACAGGTCAGATTATTCTTCCTTGCCAAACAGATCATCCAGAAGAGGTAAGTATTTGATGTCTTTCACATGAAAGATTGGTGGTTGTCTGGTCCAGTCATCTTCATTCTGAAATTAGTAACCCAGACAGTAACTTAGGATACAATGTTGAAAACAAGAATAATTAAAACTGGTCAACGTAAGATTGAATGAGCTGCTTCATTTCCACATAATAAATCTTTGAAAAAGTGGATCTTCATATAACACATCCTCTTAAAAGATTACTACATGCACATTTTTATCAATCTTGGATAATATTTTATTAAAAATATTTTCTCTTATTAGCCCTTCTGCAGGTATTTTCAAATTAAATAATGCTGTATTTTCTTCACTGAGGCATTTATACTTCAAAGTATTGGAAGTCATCTATGACTCAACACCAAAAATCATACAAAACAATGAGATAGAAGGAAAGAAGAAAAAAGTTTGCTCAACAAGCACAACCCTGTTGTTGAAATCTATCTGTCAAACACAGCCACCGCAGCCCCAAAATATTGCTGTTAATTCATGGTTAATCACGAACAGAATGAAAATCGGATTCTAAAGTTAAACAAGATCTAAATCCCTTCCTTTCCATTTCCTATTATCTCTTCATTATAATACTCTTGAACTGTACCAAAGACAGAAGAGACATTGCAGCTAAAAAAATAAAAGTCAGTAAAACTCAGTAAACTATACTGGCACCAATTTGGACATTGTTAATTAAAAACAGTGCTCTATGTCAGTGTGACAGTTACAGCAAGGTTTTGAAGCAGATGAGAAACTGATTATCCCAGCATGACAATGACTGGTGATAATTTCTATGGATGCTCTTTCTTTCTTTTTTATTTCAGCTGTAATCTTCCTCCCATAACTCCATGCACCATTCTCAACAGGGGCTCTTAGACATCAGCCCATCCACTGGCTGTCCTCCAGGCAAAGATAATGTCTTCTTCACACCCAAACAAAACCTCATCTCTTATGCTGATCCAGACATACATTTCACCACAGATGTCCACTTCAACCTCCTGCTTGTTTCACAAGAACGTTTTCCTCCACGTCTTCACCTCATGAAGGCTGCCTCTTGGTTCTACCACCACCTGTACCCCACCTTCAATTCCCTCACCTCCCAGAAATCAGGTCACATTCAATAGCTAGATTAGCTGTTGTGTGAGGGGGAAAAAAAGCAAGTCAAACACGTTGAACAGCTTTTTGGTAGAGAGCTTAGCACCATCTTCAAGGCAAAAATCCTCTTGCCACAGGTTCTGACCTTCTTTCTGTTTCTGTGATACTGAGGCTCACGAGGCCTCTTATCCTAACACAATCTCCTGAGAGCAGTCACTGCTTAAACACTGAGTTATATTTTAAGCACAGAATTCTTCTGTAAAAACAAAGAATACTCACTGAACAAAACCTAATACACACTTTGAACCACAGGACTGTTGTATAAAACATGTGGAAGAGCTTTGATTTTATCTATACAAGATGGAAAAATTCTTCTCAATGACAAAGTGAAAAATAAACCACAATGGAATGCAGAGCAAACCAGCAGCTCGCTAGACATCGTCAGTTTGAGATGCTACAGAAGAAAGAGCTGGTAAACCAAGTAAGAGAGGAGTCAGGTTAATAGCACAGTACTTGAGGAATATAGTTTTAAACTATGTCACCGATGAACTTGAATTTAAAGGAACGCTATGTTTCTAAATGGTCTGAATACAATCAAACACATTCTGTACAAGCATAGCAACACGTTGCCTAGGCAAGAACAGCAAAACTATGTGTTGGCAGAAGGGTTTTGGATTTATCCATTACAAAGTTTTTAAAAATCAGCATAATTGCCTTATGCACCATTTATTTTTAAATGTTCCATTCAGCACAAGAAGGCACGATCAGATTTGTCTCTGCAGTTTGTTGATACCACATTTTTATTTACCCCAAGTAGCAGGCTGGAGGAGATGTACAAGGTTGATCCATCAATACTGCTCTTGCAGCACGCCTACCAGTGATGTGGTGCCTTATGTACAAGTTTCTATGGAGTTACAAAAAATACATAGCTATTTTCTGCCGTGTCAGCAGAGTTTAAAGTGTTTCCTTACTGTCTCAGCAAGCAAATAGATCATTCGACATATGATGATGACATTTGTGGGTGAAGCAGTATTCATGCCAATTGTTCATGGATAAATACACCTGTTTCCCCTTCTTTTTTTTTTCCTTCTAGAAAAATGTCACAGAGATGTGACATCTATTAGGCACAGAGATGTTACAGGGCTCCTCGTCCCTGTTTGACTTCTCTGCTTCATTCTAAACCTCCCAGAAAAAAAAAAATTACTTAAAAAAGACACAAACACGCAAATATGAAAACTGTTGTGGTCTCCACTGGATAAAGCACTCATGCTAAAGTTGGCAAATTATATCAATGCACTGTACTGTTCCCTTGCTGAGATATACTGTTTTTACTCTGAGAGGTAAAAATTTACCTTTATTGTCTGGAAAACAGGGATTGGATTCTCTCTCCAGTTCAGCCCATCCACAAACTTCTTATATTCCACTTGCTTATTGTCATCTTCAAACCTAAGCAGAATATACATAAACTCAAGGTTAAAGGAAATTTTTAACAAAGTTGTACCATGTTATCTACAGCATACTAATACATTACCTTTTGGATAATGATTTTTTACTTCTTTATTACCAAAACCTGGCAGGAGTACAGAAAGACACAAACTGTCAGGACTTCTATATCATGCATTCTATTACACATTCTTACACCTTATTATCGTCTTTCATAGTAGAATTCAACTTCTTTATGGCTTATTATAGTTCAGCTAATTTCATTTTACTTTTGAAGCATTTCCCAAACTTTTCAAACACCAGAATCTCACAACTGGTGAGGAACATAGAGGTGCGATGAGCAGGGTATGCTTCTGTTGTGTAGAAAAGAAACGGGTGCAATAACATGAGAGAGCTGTGCTATAAAACAACTGACTTATTTTATATGGCTTTTACAGTCATTTCCTGAAAATAAGCAGTCCTTCAAAAATGCTGTTTGCACACACCTTGGGATTAATTTACAATTGACAAACATAGCTCTCTATCCTATCAAATAATAGCCAGATTTAAAAATCACAAACCTTGTCATTCAGTAGTTGGCTTATGGCATTGTTCTTTATGTCTATAGAACAAATATATATTTGTGTTAGTTATGAAGATCCTCTAAATGCATGAAGATACATATACTGCTGAGGTCTACAGGTACATGTGGAACACGGTACCTCCCTCCCTTGAGTTTCTAAAATCACTACCCTGCACTAATAAACCCCATGAGAGCAGATCTGTAAGCCATGTCATCCTTCTGCCGTTGATGTGGATGAAACAGCTTCGGAAGAAAAGTCCCCAGTTCAGCAAAACACTCTGGTGATTAAAGCACTTGGGAACCACTGCTACATCCATGGCATTAGTCAAATACTTGAAAGATATCCACAAGCTAAAGCTACCATGCAAATCATTCTTGAAACTAACAGCTTAACTGCTCTGCTGCAAATACTGTCCTAGCAGGTTCTGTAAATGACATCTGTCTCACCCAACACTAACAGATAAAAGGGACCTGGTTTAAGCATATAAGCAAACCCTGGAAATGTCTGTGCCTCACTGGGTTCCATGGAGAGACATACAACTAGAAAGACT